GATTTTTATTTTAACTACATACAGGGTGAATATAAAGTATGGAACTAAGCGTTTTTATTTTTAATCATTTGCCTCCAGAAAATAATAATTAATATAAATTGAAGTAATATAAAAATGTGATCGTATTTTCAGAACGAAATTTTGTTTTGTTTTTGAGTTATGCGATTCTTTTTTTTGTCAAAATTGCAATGTGAAAAAATTTTTTTCAAAAAATTAAATATAAAGCAGATGGTATTAATCCTTAGAGTATAACTTTTATGAGAAAAACGATTTTATAGTGGTTTTTTTTTTGTAGAACTCAAAAACAAAAGGAGATTTCGAAAAAATTTATTCTTGTTAAATCATCACATTTTTATAGTACTTTATCACTCATCAATTAGTTTTTTCAAAAAATAAATAGTTTAAGCAAAAAACGTTTGGTTCCAAACTTTTTATTCACCTGGTAATAACTCATGCAAAACTGTAAAAAAATAAAAAAAATTGCTTTTTTCATTTTGAAAAATTTAGGAAAATTTTTTGTTCCTGTAATTTTTTGGAGTAGTGTATTAGATGATGATGATTTTTTATCGTGTTTTATTTTTTATTATAATTAGAAAACTCACAACAAATCTCTCATTTTTAATTCATTTCACGATAAAACTTTCAAACATTTTTGGCTGAAATTATTCCTTTGCCATTTTACTACCGTCAAATTTTAATTTCAAATGTGTGTTTGTGTTATGTTAATCGAGATCGACGTAAAAATCGAAACGTGAGATGTTTGTTACAAAGTTTTCCAAACGTGCTTAATTGCTCACAGAGACGAACAAAAAATTCTAGAACTTTTCAGCGAGCAAAAGTTGAAACATACTTGAAGGTAAATCCGTTAAAAACAAAACTATGTTAGCTAAGTGTATCAAAGTTGTAAAAACCAAACTTAATTTCATCGATAAGTTTGTAGGTGAAAACGTAGTTATTTGTAAGCGAATTTAATTTGATGTAGCTAAACCTTGTAAACCTTGGGGCTATTTTACCCAACTTGGGTCAGTTTGCTGAAGTAAACACTGTTATAAATTAGTTTCGATTTGTAATAATATTATTCAGGCTATTTACTTAAGTCTTGTACTTAATAATGCACTTGGAGTGCTTCAAAGAACAAAAATTTACAAAATACGATTCAAACTGTGTTTCACCAAATTCCAAA